GGGTCTAAATCAGAGGAAGGAATGGCGGTAGGATCAGCTGTTTGGGCACTGGAAGGGGTAAGGCTGGGGTAGATGTAGGTTCAGGAGTGAGGGAAGAGGTAGGGAAGGGGGTAGAGGAAGAGGCAAAGGTACAGTTGGCTGTATTATAAGTGGAGGTGGGCGAGGGGGAGGTATTACCGGAATCAGTGGTCACGACAGCCACCAGTTTAGGTCGATCCTTCATGGCTACGATAAGTTTATTTTCGCTTTATTTGAAGTTGTTGCAAATATTCAATACACAGTTCTTACATTCCTAGGAAACTCTGGTTTGATCGAGCCAACGAGGCTGAAACATTCTCGGCGGCAAGTTCCGACAGAGCACTTCCATGGATGTAGAGTATTTTTCAGACCAATCAGCCCACAGGAAAACAGCCTGCTATTGTATGGCCCAGCATCGCCTGCCAATGCGCGAAAAAATTCTGCATCATTCGGGCAGAGCGCGTAGGAGCCTTGCAGTGAATATTATGCCCGCTGCCAATCCATCCATATTTTATCTGAGCTTCGAATCAGCTCACGGTCGAACGGCCACTCGTCGAAGGATGATAGATTTTGGAACAAAACTATGCTATCTGAAACTTTACCTTAGATGCTGTGAGCTAAAAGTTACGTAATTTTTCTAATGATATGATTGATGTCATATTCGAACAACGGCCTTGTGATGCACGGCAGGCTTCATGTAGCTCCTCTGATAGGTTTTAGGATGATTGGTTGCAGTCCATTGTTCGCTGGCTACAATTCGAGCTATGGTCGGGGTACGAAATGATGTTTCGATGAAATGTTGAGAGTTGGCTAATCATTACACTCTTGGCAATTTGCTCCCGTGTATGGTGGTGTTGAGCCTAAAATATTTGAAGCAATATGATGTCGTGGGTTGGCTACTGGCGGCAGACTTAACCTGCGGCTGATTGCCAGCCTTACGGTAATATGATAGGCGTTCAATTTAGGGCTGATTGATGCACAAAATTGTTGTATGACTGCACTCCCATGCTAGTCCCGTGTATAAGCACCGAATACCGGTTGAATCCATGTTGGAGCAGAGATGGAGCGGCTGATTTGCGTGCTCCACAATTCCTAGGCCTCCAATCCTATTTCAGAGTCGCTCCGCATCTAGATTTCATTTGGAAGTCTAACTGGAAACGGCCATTTGAAATATTAACATATAGCAATCGAGCACAGACTATAGCTGGATTCAAACTCCATGATGTTGAATTCGAAAGATTCATGTTGCAGGTTACGATAGACGAAAAAAGGCCCACATAAACGTTTTCAATAGAGATATGCTGAATTTTTGTTGTGTTTTCTTCGCTTTTAAATTTCTAGTGAACAAGTCTAAAGACGCGTGCTGGTACCCTAAATGCAAATAATTGGCAATGGGGAAGCTTGGGCTACAATATCAAGATTTTTTGGCATATTCTTATTTTTTCAATAAATTTTACGTTATTTGGCTCCTCTGAATAATTTAAAAATCCTAAAATGCCATTTAAATAACTCCTACAGTATTCACGCAACAGCAATGAAAGATATTCAATTCGATTCGTAAAGACCATACAAAGCGACTCTAGGAGCCATTTTTAACGCATTTTCTCATTTATGGAAAAAGGCGCTATTGTGCTTGCCATGTCCGTCATCTCCGTCCGTCTGTCTGTCTGTCCGTCCGTCCGTGACTTCACGTTTTCGTCGACGAGAAGATGTGCTCTCTGTCGCTCACTGCAGTGAGTACTGAGTTATATTTTCTGAATTTGTGCATGGTTTGACTTATATATGGAGATGTGAAAAAATGATAAAAAGTGCATAAAAGAAAAACGAAGAGGGAAATCGAACATCAGGGAAAAAACAACATTGTTTTTTATTTTACATTTCAAGTATGTGTGTGAAATTTCAGAAAGATCGGTTGATAAATGTAGAAGTTAAACCTCGTTCGATTAATTAAACTTCGAATTCAAGTTCGATTAATTCATTCTTTATATTTTATGACACATGACTCACGACAAATGGCTCAATTAAGATACATGTCTTACGACACATGCCTAACGGCACATGACCAACGGTATATGGCTCACAGCACACGACAAATGTCGTGCAAAGAACTAAACCCCAAAATACAAGTGACCTCACGGTCTCAATAAATTTAATCTCATTGGCATTTTGAAAATGTGCAGCTGGACAGATAACCACGTATCCAGGCTACGAGTGCATGGTAGCCTCGTCTGAACCAAGGCATCAATCATGCTATTGACATTCTTCTCATGGACATTGATATCAACCGCATAATAAATGAAAGGACAGGTAACTCCCCAAACTACATCACACGTGCATGCCTCGCAAGGAAGCTATACAACCACGAGAACAGGCAACTTGTCTCTCCTGCGAGGAACGTAGCAGGTAAACGGACGCACTTAATTGTGTTTTGCACAGCACGAAACATGACGCACAACATGGCTTAGGACACAGGGCGCACAACATGGCTTACAACACATGACGCGCAACATGGCTTACAACACATGACGCATAACATGGCTTAGGACACAGGGCGCGCAACATGGCTTAAGACACATGGCGCGCAACATGGCTTACAACACATGACACACAACATGGCTTACAACACTTGAATAAACTAAATGACAAATTACCATGAGGGACCAAAGAATCATTAATCAGTTCATCTAATGAATAAGCGAGCTTCAGGCCTGATAAGTTGAGCACCAACGACCGCCTGCGAACATCTGTGTCAACGAAGCTCTTCGTCTTGTTGAGCGATGCACGTGTCGTCGCGACAGACGCCCGCGCCAGCACCAGCTACCCAGCTTGAATATGCGCGGTGCTCACCCATTGATGATCCCATGAAGTTTTTCGGCGCTGACACTTGGCCACGTTGTGGGTGTTGGGAAATGCAGACAACGTAAACTCGTGTCGGGAACGTTAAGAATGTTGGAAATTAAGACATCTTAAATCCAATGCATGGCGGTCATGTTAGGAATGTTGAGAACTAAAGGCACATTATCCCAATGCGTGGCAGTCGTGTTCAGAATGTTGAGAACTAAAGACACATTAATCCAATGCGTGGCAGTCGCGTTCAGAATGTTAGAAACTAAAGACACATTAATCTAATGCATGGTGGACACGTTCAGAATGTTGGGAACTTAGACATCTTGGTCCATCACTTGGCGTAATCATCTTCGTTTTAGCCAGCGTATTTGTTGTACAGAATGTATTAAGAGTGTATTGACAATAATATTGGAATGACTTTTCGGCAAAGGCAACGTAAATAGCATGAAAATGTATAGTGCCTATTTCATGTTTAGTAACGTGGTGAAAAATGGCCACGTAGACTGCAAATGAATCAGTTAGACATTATGACTAATGTCAGGCGGTTGTAAGTTGACGTGAAGTTCTGCACCGTGATCAGTTGCATGCTGCATATAAGTTGGAGGATTAGAGAATTTCAATGCAAGGCAGCATTCCCTTTGAAGATAGCAACATCTGTTTCCTGAAAACAAAGGAGCGTCTAGGTGCGAATCTCGACAATCCCTTTTTATTTTGTTGGCAGAATAAAACATGTTCATCGGTGAAATAGGAACTCAAGGTCTCGTTGGTGAACTTTGCTTACAAATTCTCAAACTATATATAGAGGTCTAGCAGGTACTGACAGTTATAGGCTGTCATTCAGAACATAGCTACCACTGGCCACTATAGTTTCACTAAATCATTTCACGAATAAACAAAATTCATACACTGTCTATACCCGGACTATACGCATGCATCAGATTATTCGAACTGATCTGTACAGATATTTTTTTGACTTATTCTAATTTTTGCTTTGTACATCTAATTTTTCGAAGTAATATAAATCTAACAGAAAATATGCAATAAGTAATAATAATAGTCTAAATTTATATACGATGTACAGTGATATAACATAATACAACGTGACATTATACGAGTACAATGTACAAGCTAGGCTATACGCTAGATGCAATTTTTCTATCAAGGTTATCCCATAATTAGTCAGATCTAGCCCGGATATAGCTAAGTTGGCAATAATGAATTCATCACATGTACATTTTACGGCCGCGGCAACGACAGTTAGTACGTTACGGCCTCGGGAGTAACATTATACAAGCAAAATTATTCGGAAAAACAGACATATTGAATATTTGGCCTGAGGATGTTCATGAAATCTCCTGTGACTATGCGACGCTCGAACCTTTGGCGGGATAATCAAGGAAAAATTTAATGTTTCGCCGACCATGGTTGTTCCGCATGGTCATGCGGCAAAAGAGGTTGAGTAATAGGGTAAAATTTTCATGACAAAACATAACATAACGTAGCGATGTCGGCGCTGAAGAGTAGGCCTGATGTGGCCTGTCGCTGACTCTATAGTACTTTTCGTGGCTTGTTCACAGAAGAGCTAAAATCGTGTTATTTGACCAGGATCTTTTCAAGACTGACGATAGTTTGAAATATCTACTATATAGACTCCCTCCGGCTCCGATATGGTGCTAGGCATTTGAAGTCTGAACATATATTTTTCCATAGCTTTATCTAGGCTGTTCTTGAACGCCTTTATACTCGGAGCACCAACGAAGTAATCGAGGAGGCTGTTCCACATGCCGGTGATTCGAAGCGAGAAGAAATGATGTCGCGTGGAAAAGTTGCAGCGCAGTTTTTTAGTTTATAACAATGGCCCCTGGCGTTTGTTCTTGTTTCAAACTCTAGTAATCCTTCTGGGACCTTGTATAAACCATGCGTATACTTGTATACTTCAATGAGGTCACCAACACCAGCCTCATGATGAGTAAACTCATGAGACATCTAGCCTTCGTGAACTTGAAGGATGAAAATCATTAATCAAACAGGTGCGTGGGCGGCTGCTTACATTTGATTCTTACTTCACCTGGACCAACAAATCAAAGGCCTATAAAATCAGAGCCAAACGCAAACAACGTGACAGAGCAGCAAGAGCCGTTGAACTGCCCGCAGACCCTGTCGTTCCCCAGCAGTCCCAGCAGCAAGAGTCTCTGAACAGCCCGCAGACCCTGTCGTCCAGTCCCTGATCACAGCCCCAAGATGTCGCGAGGTCTCGTGCTTCTCATCGTCGCCGGGGCAGCAGCGTCGGCGCAGGCGTAAGTAACGCGTCTTCGAGGGCCATGAGTGGTTTGCTGTAACACTGACAAAGCAGATATATGTTCAAGTTTTTTTGCTAGGATATTTCGTATTAAATGCTACTGATATTTATTTTCAGATTTCTTATGATTACTAGGGCTTTATCTTCTTATATTTAAAACGTTTTGCTTCATACGATGGCAGCATCAATACTTGAATTAGAGAATCAGACACGATACTTAATATTCTGTAGAAGGCGACATGAAAATGTAAATAATCACCTATGCGACAATTCATGATTTGAAACGCTGTACAAATAAAATCAGAGTTATTTACGGCATCTGATGCTTGTATGACAATAATCGGATAGGAAAAGTAATAGGAAATGCGGTGTCAGCGTTTGTTAGGTCGTTAGACTTTTCGCCGATTCTTAACATTGCAGAACATTCGCAGTTTTCTGCGGTCTCAAACATACAACTCACTGCTTCAGTTTTGATATTTTGAAATGTAATTACTTGGTAACTCATCATGATAGATTTGAAGAACATTGCTTTCCTGCAGGAGAATGACGACAAATTTTGTTTGCTTCATGCATGAGTAGCATTTAAGGGGATCTTATTCAGTTGAATAATATAATTCGTGAACAGCTGTAAGATTTGGTCCTCGCTTAGAACAAGTCAAGTCATGAGCTGGAGGCCCGACGACCTGCCTGGCCATATCATTGTATTCCTATTCATATTTTATCATTGCATTCCTACTATGTTTTAATAATTGTATAGAGCGAGGAGGAGACTTTACACCTGCATGCATCCGATCGCGTAGAGAAGTGTTTGTACATCTTAGTGCGGCAGTAAGATTTGCATGCCTCGGTCAGCATAAAAACTTTTCGGAAACTGCGATTTCAGCCAAGGTGGTGCTCCTCTCCAGACCGAAATTCAGGAGCTTTCTTTGCGGTGCAACTTTTTATTGATCAAATAAATTTTATTCACATTGTAAGGAAAAACTTAATTTGATTATTGATGTTGCCAAACTACCCCATTAACTTGAAAGGATTTACTTGGGAAAATTTAGTTTCTCAGTAACACATCTTATTTCGAACTTGATGAAGCTGACAACGTAATTGCAGAGATAATATAGAGTATGATTGATTATGCAAGTGGATCTCCTATTTAATTTATGGATTTGATTACAGGGATTCCGTTTGCTATAGTACGCTTCAGGAGGCCTTTTTCGCCTGGACTGAAACTGCATGGGATGCTTGCCATTTACAGTACACAGCGCCTGATATTGACCTTGCAAGTAAGTGTTTAAATAATTAATACACACTATTTTACTCCCAGTTAAAACCATCATTATTGTTAAATCTTCTCATTCAGTTGTAAAATATTTAGATTTCAATGTTTAGATATACTCTAGTGTACGAATCAAATAAGGATTTTCCTCATTGACCAGTGCAGGGCAAAAACTTTTTTTTCTTCAATACGTATTAATTTTTCATTGATTCTGGTTGAGTTACCGAACTTTAACAAACCAATAGGATCCCTGCATTGTTTCATTCCTGTACGTTGTTTCGCAATGGGATGCCACCAACAAACCATAAACAACAGTTTCGTTCCTCCTCAGCCAGGGGGTACTGCTCAGTATGGTCTAAATCGTACGATGTGGCTAAATGCGATCCACTTTGGGCCAACTACAGCAAGTGCGGGCTAAAAGCGGCCAAACTTGTGAGTAAAGCACAATACTGAGCATCGAGTGAAGGACATGCGTGTGTGACTGAGAATCGAGTGGAGAGTAGTAGTAGGAGTGGAATGGTTACCTAGCACTTCAGATGTAAAGCTATTTCGCACCGGAGGTCAAAAAATAACATCGCCAGGAAGGCGGAAGGCCTCAATTATTCAAGATCCCAAATTAATCATCATCCACGTGTGACGGAAGGTCTCAATTGTCCAGCACGCTGAAGAAGCAGCGTTAGCATCTCAAAGAGACGGACAAGGAGGGACAGGTGAAAAGCAACAGATAATAAGACACTCGAACAAGAGGTCGCTTACACGGGACGTCGGCCGCCCGCACGAGAGAGACAGAGAAGGGAAATGTAAGGAATCCTACCTACATAATAACTTGATGTAAGGAATCCTACCTACATATTAACTTAACCGCACAACTGAGACCTACAGTGAGACACCGCGAGCGTAGCGGTGGGGCGCTCAGGAACAATCCCCCTATAGGAGCGCGAAATCTTATAGGACTTCTGACGAGTACAGACACGCGTCAGAAGACCATCGAGTGGAGAACTTGTGAGTATGTACAATGTGAACTTGTGAACTGTACAATGGACACTGAGTATCGAGTTCAGGACTTGAGAGTGTGACTGTGCATTGAGCATCGAGTGCAGGACTTGTGTTATGACTGTACATTGAGCGCAGAGTGACAGAATTTGTGAGTATGACTGTACAATGGTCATTCAGTATCGAGTGCAGGACTTGTAAGTGTGACTATACCTTGGGCGCCGAGCTCATGACTGAACATTGTAGCACAAAAATTCTGGTCTCGCAACACACGCGCTCAGCAGTAGGCCTATTTATGTCTGGTGCGTAGGGCCGATTTTTTGGGGTTAATGTCAGTCACAAACTATTGAGCGTGAACCACTGATGGGGCATACAGACCTGTGGATCGAGACAGCGGGAAGACATTTTCCAATTCGGTATTGCTTACATGTTCAAAAATTTCTCCTTGCATCATCCTCAACGATGCTCTTACATTTCTGCGCAACAGCTCACACGAAACGTGTGAGATTAGATAAGCTGGAGATACCCTCTCCGATCTCATTTAAGGCTGAAGAAATTTTTTCACCGAGCAAAAAATTAATATAAATCCAAGCTCCAGTTACATTATATCCTTCTTATCTCCACCTCCCGTTCTCCAGCTGAAGGCAGACAACACGTTCGACGACGCGGCCTTCAAAGCAACCATGTTGCAAAACGAGTGCAGCGCTGACGCCAAGTTCATAGCCGCGTACCCGACGTGCAAGAACTCCACCATGAAATATTTGAACGTAAGTAAAAGAAGGTGCTTATCTATTTGATTTAGAAACAAATGCTACATTTTCCATATGAATTGCTCACATTTTAAAGTAACAAGGAAAGTTACCAACGCTTGCGTATAGTTCGTACAATGAAAGGAAAAACCTCTTTCATAGAAATTCAACGATGTCAGACCACTGCAGTAAATAGAAGAGATCACAGAATTTCCGTAAATGTTCATCGCTGATGCCTCATGTTTCATGTTCCAGTTCGGCCGACTAAACGTCTGTCTCCAGAAGGCTCTATATTGACGGGTGATGTCGCGGAAGAGCATTGAATTGAGCCAGAAGAAGACGAACTGAGCATCAGAAGACTTTTCTCTTTCGTAACCCATTCATTTCCGCTGAGTTGGATTGCCAACGAGAATATTGTTATTGTTGCAATTTTGAATTCGGGATTTCTTCGGTTATGTGTGTGACTGCGTGTTTTAATCTTTGGTCTGCGGATTTTCACAATCGAGTTCCACTCGCTCTTTCCCCATAAAATAGAGATTCAGGAAAAGGACGGTAGGATGCATTTACTATACCCACTACTATACCCACATCAATGTACATTTATCCCTTTGCATACACTATTCATGAGATTGCTACCACGCGCAGTCTCTGGGATATATTCTACAGCTAATAGGTAACAATACAATAAATGATTTGAATGCACATATACTTTACTGTCCTGTCTGGTTTAATTGTGTTCTAATGTCATGTAATATTTTCGTAAGGATCATATTATAAGGGCCGATATTTTCTGGTACGTCATAGCACGTTTTTCGTCCTACTTTACGTACCATGTGTCACGTCATATATAGTACGTCCTTATGGTGCGTCCGCTCCCAGATAGATACACTTAGGCATTAATTTGCCCAGACCCAAAAGCACTCTCTGAGCGCGAGCCGAAAGAACAGAAGTCAGCTAACAAATGGGATCGAAAGATATTGTATTACTGAGTCATAAGGAATATATATTCGATACTTCAATGATAGCGGCGCAAGATTTGAACCCAGACGCATCTCCAGCCTGACCTTCAACGCAAGACCCATAGCAGAAAAAAACGATGCCCTTCTGTATTGAGGGTGAAAGTATCGGCAGCGTAACAGAAGATTGTTGACAATAGGAGTTATACTGTGAATGAAAGTATATCCGGGTAAACACGTAATTTTTCAGAAATTCAACTGCAAATAAAATAGCACAAATATTCACCATATTTTATAGAATAAATGTTACGGAGTCTAGCTCTATCATCAGATCAACAACCGTTGAATGCGATCAGTACAAATAACTATAAGTAACCAATATTAACATCGCAGACTTAAAACTAAAATTTACAAATAAATGACCAATCCTCATAACAAGTTCAACAGGATCAGAACTGGAGAAGTCAATCAAAATAGGCAACTGTTTGAAAATAAGGATTCTAACATTCGTAAGTCAGACACCGGTTATGGAAGCTAACATTTTTAACTAGGTTTCGAATGCTGGAACTTGGCACAACACCGCATTATCTCGGTAGGTATTTCACGGATAAAACTTTTAACTCTTTAGGCATAGTTTCAGATGCAGGGGTGAAATATGGAAATGTACAGTAAACAACGTTCCCTATAATTACACTCGCGGGAATAACTTCACTATTTTGCTCGGACACGAATTCTCTTAATTTGAGTACACACCGTGTGTGATGGAAGCCCATTAAGCAACAAGTTATTGTGCAAAAAATCAAAATCAAAGTTCATAGCATGAAAGGTTGAACAAATACGGAAGCCACGGTGCATTAGTTTGTAAATCTTATTTAATTCAAAACGAAATCAATAAAAGCTGAAGAAGCTGGTGTTCCAATCGTTAAAGTTCAATTTTCGGAAGTTAGAACCGTAACAAAATTCGGGTACTGCCAAGGCTTCTGCCAAGAAGCCGCTACAATCGGACTAAAGTTATTCTCCTTTCCCACTTTATACTCGCCCGAGAGTAGGAAAAGGTTGGGCGAGCCTAGTCATGCCGAGATGGCAAGCTACCCCGAGGCTACTTTTCAAGCTTTAAGTTGCTTATACACAAGGGTAGTATTAGTTGCGAGTATTCGCACTCTAATATTGTGATGATTGATTCTTCAGATGTGAGAAGATGATGAGCTTGCGTCTGAAGCAGTTCAGGTTGTTAATTTGTGGTCTAGTTGGCAGTAGGGCAAGTCCAGTCCCAACGACGATGGTTATACGAACGTCAAGATGTGTTCAGATGATACTGAACTGTTCTTAGATATTCCAGAATTACCATTACGATCTACTGTGTACGAGACGTTGAATATTCCAACAAAATCCAATTGAGAAAATAGTGTTTTTGGAACCTAAAGGAAACCTTATTAGGTTTTTCACCCACACTCTACGCTGATATGCTAAGTTTTTCACCTCCTCAGCAGAGTGGCAACTTATGCCACCAACTGCTTCATCAAGCGCCTCCTCAAGCTTGATTCCACAACAAGCTAAATTCAACAGCAAATAAAATAGCACAAATATTCACCATATTTTATAGAATAAATGTTACGGAGTCTAGCTCTATCATCAGATCAACATTCTACGGAGTCTGGAGGATCATTACGGAGTCTAACTCTATCATCAGATCAACATTTTCAATACATAACATTTATTCTATAAAATATGGTGAATATTTGTGCTATTTTATTTGCTGTTGAATTTCTGAAAAATTACGTGTTTACCCGGATATACTTTCATTCATCAAGTCACGAAAGGGATATCAAGTCACGAAAAGTTCAAGAATCGGCAACAGGCCATGGGCCTATTTCTTCAGCGCCGACACTTCTATTCTATAACCATTACGTTCCATATTCCACCATACACAGCCCTCATTCGACGGTTTCCACCGATGCACTAGTACCTGCTTGCAGACTGGCGGAGACCACCACTGCTGGGCTTCGAGTGGACCACCATGAGCCCATCCCACAAGAACGTAGGCTCGAACACTTTCGGACTACAAATTATCGGCCGCAATCCACCATTCAAATCAAATCCATTGAAGTAGACCTATAAGCCCACAGATAAACAAGCTGCAATAGTTTGGCCCAGAATCGTCTGCCAGTGCGCGAAAAAATTCAGCACAACTCTGACACAACGCGCCGTAGCCTTACAGTAAATTTGAGGACAGCCACCCACCCGTCCGTATTTATCCTCCGCATCGTACAAGCCCGCAGTCGAACGACGGCTGGTCAATGGACAATAGATTTTGGAACAGAACTTTGCCATCTGAAACCCAACTCCAGATGCTGTGAGCTTAGAATTACGTAATGTAACGAAGCGTCGAAAGTCGTGTTCGATCCGAGGTCTGGTGGTGCGCGGCAGGATTCACGCAGTTCCACTGGCGAGCTAGGCTGATTGGTCGCAGAGGTTGTGGACTTACAGTTCGAGCTGAAGTTAGGGGTAAGAAGTGATGTGTCCGGTGTCAATCTGGCGCCTCATTATAATCATTATATTGTATGTAATTGAGACGTAATATTCACTTGACCTGAAAGAGATTGATGACATGAGTCAGCATCTGAAAGACACGTGAAAGATCACGCGATCAAGACCTTAGTAGTGGGCGGAAGCTATATAAGGGCTAGCAACCTTATTAGTATAGGCCCCCGTAGTAGTTGATAAGCGCTCCGCAATGTAACGCGTCGGTCGAGTTCTCCAACCTTACGGTCGACGCCGTAGCTTATAACTCTGTATCGTAATATATAACCACCCAGTATATAAGATCTGTTATCAGGCACACGTTCCTACTTATCCTTCACGACCTTAGTCACGTAACCCGATCCTCAGGTAGAGCCAGAGGTGGGCAGTAGCGCGCTACATGTAGCGGTAGCGGTGGCGGCTTTACATTTAAGGCAATGTAGCGGTAGCGGTAGCGCCCGCTACATAATTAAGTAGCGATACGAGGTTTTGCCGCTACAGCGCTACCGCTACATTTATAGATAAAGCCTTTAGATTTTACTTAAGGGGACCGGCTACCCTCCAACAAAACTTTTTTGTTTACAGACGGATCGTTTTGAAACTTGGTACACATATGTAAAACAGAAATCTAAGACCTTTTTGTTCATGTAAATTTAAAAAAATGAAAGAAAACGTGGAATTAATAGAAAACGGCAAATAAGGGGTACTCTAAAAAAGTTTATAACTTTTGCAAATCACATGCTACAATGTCGAGACACATATCATTCGATTTGTAACAACAATATCTAGCGACTGTAGAGCCCCGATTTTTTATTTTCCTCATCGTTTTTTTCGCGTTCTTCCCATTTTTTCACATTTTTACCCCCCCACCTTCCTCCCCCTCCCATATATAAGTCAAACCATGCACATATTAAAAAAAGGCTTCTAGAGTCGCTAGGTATTGTTTTTACAAATCGAATGGTATGTCTCTCATTGCCGTAGCTTGAAAACTGTTGGAGTTATAATTTTTTTAAGATGGCGTTTTTTGGATTTTTAAATTGTTCAGGGGAGCCAAATAAAGTAAAATTCATTGAAAACAGAAGAATATGCCCAAAAAGTCTTGATATTGTAGCCCAAGCTTTCCCATTGCCAATTATTTGCATTCAAGGTACCAGCACGCGTCTTTAGACCTATTTATGTTCAATTTAACGTGAATAATAGGCTATAAATGGGACTTTTTATATATAAATATATATATAAAATATTCATTTTACATAACTTTACAACTGCATTACGCAAAAACTATTGCATGAACATCCATGGTAGTAGCTTTGTTAAACGCGTCTTGTTTGTAGCTTTCAAACGAGTGCAAACACTTTGCAATTAACCTAAATAATGACATATAAATACCATTTATTTGTAAATAATGATATAAAATGATCATTTTATAAAAGTTCAAGACTGCATTACACAAAAAAGTATTGCATGTACATCTATGGTAGTAGCTTTGTTGAACGCGTCTCGTTTGTAGCTTTCAAACGAGTGCGAACACTTTGTAATTAACGAGAGTAATGATCTATATATACAGATTTAATTCAAATAAATCTTTGTACATATTGTTAAAAAATGTTCATATATGTATTTTTAAAATTGTCTTACGCAAAAATTATAGCACGCACAGACATGCGGTAAACTGCGTTAGACGCGCCTTTTCAGCAGCTACAAAATGAGTCAAGAAAACGGTAAAGCCAAAATATCCGATTTTTAGGGTAGCCTGTCCCCTTAATAGTATTATATATTATTTAAAAACCAGCATGATACATACATAATATTAATTACAGAATAAAACTGAACGAAAGATTTCGGTGTAATGTTGTCAACCTCAGCCTGTTGCTAGTGTCAACATGTTAGTTGTTACTTGTTAAGTTGTTACCAGTTACCACTTACAGGTTTTTTTCATCTTTCAGTTTGAGTACAGTTCTTTTTACACAGTTATTTTTATGTTTCACCTTCCCTACATGGATGTCTACTTCAATCTACCAATCTCAGAAATAATCCACATATATATACAAAAAAAGACTGATTTTTATATATATATGTGGATAATTTCTTAGATTGGTAGATTAAAGTTCACATCCATGTAGGGAAGGTAAAACATAAAAATAACTGTAACTTCTATTTACTGTATCTAACCCTGCATGTGTAACCCATACTAGTTCGGTTAGGTTAATTACAATAAAGTTGCAT